GTTGCTAATACAGCAACCAACACTGGTAGGAAAGAGGGTGCAGTTATAATATTGACAAGGGTGTTTCAGAAACCTTTATTGTAGCTATTATGCCAGCCCTATAGGCCTTGTTAGGAAGCGTTTCCCTATTTAAATTTTACGTACGTATTCACAATTTTACGTATGCGTTTCGCAATTTATGTTACGCAAAAACTTTTTTTAATAATTCTATTTTAAACAGTCTTTTAAAAGAGATTAAGCGGAAAACATTAAACTGTAATTAATTGTTGTAAAAAACATTTGTCGAATATTTTTTTTAATTAGATAAAAAAACAGATAGATATCCTTTTTCTATTTTCCTTTTTTAAAAAAAAGTATGTTTTAAATTTATTTTTTTAAAATTAAATTAATTTTATTATTATTCATAGTTTTAGTAATTTATTTGACTAAATTTAATTAAAATTCTTTTAAAAATTTAAAAACGCTCCGTTTTACAGTTTTTTTCACTGATAAAATTTCCAAAATTTATGTTAAAGTAAAAAAAAAATTAATAAATTTAATTTAAGTTACTTTAAAATGTTTGCACTACATATAACTTAATTTTAATTTCAGTTAAGTTTCAAATAGTTCCAGTTCCAAATACTGGTCTGAATAATGCTTTTTTATAAATAAAAAAAAGTTTTTTCAAACTCGAGTTTAAATGTTATGTTTGGGTTTTCCCTTTGTCGTTAAATTTGGTGTAAAAGACTTTTTTAATAAAACAAACCAAACTTTGAACCAATTAAAAATAACGCGATCAATAAATAAACTCTTTAAAAGCCTAATTTATATTTATTTTATTAAAAAAAAAAAAAAATTATAAATATAAGATTTATAAAATTTTAAAATTATACTGAAATTTGTTAAAAACAAGTTCTGGTAATAACATCTTAAAACCGAAAAACTATTTCTCTTTTTGGATTCAGTAAGAAATAGTAAATATACATTAGGTTTCACTGCACATAAAAATAAAATATTTTAATGGAAAAAAGCCGAAAAGCGGGTAATCTTCGTTTAATTGTAGTGGTAAGAGCGCTCGCTTTGTAAGCGAGAGGTTCGGAGTTGGACTCCCACCATGTCCCTGGAAGTACCGCGCTTAACTTAATTTCTCCGCGCAGTGGCCTTGCTTGTCAAGGTTTCGGAGTTAAAGAGTTGAGAGAGGGTTGTACCTCGATTTACAACAAAAAAAAGTTGAAAAAAAAATTATAGAATTTTAAATTTTTTAAACATTTAAAAGACTTACAATAATTTCTGATGTGTTTGATGATGTCTGATGTGAATTTTTCTGATGTCTGATGTGAATTTAATTACAATGAGGTGTTAAAATACGTAACTGGCGCAATTAAACTTTTAACGATGTAAATATCTTTATTTAATAAAGTTACATATATTCATGTTGCGCTTTTCTGTTACGCAACAAAATCTCATAACAAGGCCTGCCCTATATACATGAAATGTATATTAAACATATTTACAAATCAATAACTGAAGATAACACCAATGGTCTGCCAAAGACCCTTTACTCCTACTTTAAGAAGCAATGGGAGAATCCATTTTTATCTACTTGTGGTGCCTCTTCTAGTTTTAAATGTTTGATAAGAAGACTCTCATAATTGGTTCTGGAATTCATCAAACATACTTGGAGGTGAAGACATATTAAATTTGTTCTTGAATTTGAGATTTTCCCCCAAGATAATTACAGGCATCTTGTGGAATGCTTAACTTTCTTATATGTGGAATGCTTAACTATCCTAATATTCAGTCTGACAAGCTAAAAAACTTTAGGATTCATCAACGAGGTGCCTGTCATAAAGCTAGATTCATTGCAGATGCATTATATTGCATGGCTTCGGAATTAACATCGCCAGTTATAAACCAGCAGGTTCTAGTCTCTAGAGTTAGTCTAATGATTATTATATTTTATGCTCCAGATTTTTTAAAAGAGGGTTCTGAAAGAAACATTGGACTTTTACAAAAGTTTGTGAACTTTTCACACTCTGAGAATCAGAAACAAAACATTTTGCTAGTTGTTCAGGAAAATCAAAAATAGATTTCAAAGAATGTTCATCAGGAAGATTTTGTTAATTTTAAATAGATAATGTTATATTATATATTGCTGTAAATGCAAACATGTTTTATTTGTTAAGCTCTTTTGTTAATTATCTCAGATCAAAGTTAATAAAGCTAATAATATAAAACAGTAATTATACTAACATATGCTTTTTTACATACATTTTTTAGCATATATTGGAAAAAAATGATGAATATTTAAATTATTGAAAAAATACATCTACCTGTTACATTGATCTTAGTTAGCTAAATTTTTCAATATAAGCTAGTATATGGAGAACAGGTATTTACACAGTGTATTTGCAACTTTTGAAAAAAGTTAAAAAAGTGCAAAAAAATTGTCACCCATATGTACAAAACTGCGCTAAAAGAAACAACTTCCTCACCAACCAGCAATTTTGTTTTTCAAAAAAAAAATTCCTGGGAGTCACAGCCCAGGACTCTTGTGGAGGAATGGGCTTCTACATCAACATGGCATAGAGGCCCACTAGGGTAAGTCTGGCCCTTGATTATTAAATGACAGCATATTAAAATTAGATTTCATCTCCATTAACTTAGATCTCGAAAATCAAATATGTGATGCAGAATAATCTTTGACTCAAACTCAAAGAAAATAATTTATTCTGGGCAATGTTACTGAATAGAGTTACTGAACTGATGTTACTAAGCCTTCTGTATGTTAAGAAAGGTTGGTTCAGTAACCTGTTGTTCAATAATTTAATAATATAAATTATTTTTTAGACAATTATTTAAAATTTTGTATCAATTGTTGACATTGTAATAAATTATATAACGTGTAAAAAGTTTTTTTAATTTAAAAAACCCAAAAAATTCATCATTTAAAACTTAAAAACACAAACAAACAAAAACTATATAAAACAAAAAAAAAACTTATTTTTTTAAGCTTCTTTTTTTTTCAAGAAAAAAAATAACAACAGAAAAAAACACAAAAACATAGGAAAAAATAGTTTTTTTTGCAATCCAAAATTATGACAATTTTTCAGCATTTTGTAAAAATTTTTTTGTCATACTGTCCCAATGGGCATTGACAAGATTTTACAGTCCCTGATCAAATTATTAGCCCACTTTATAAATTTTGTAGAATTTTGACTTATTAATTGTTTAGGTGCCATTAAAATTTGTTTGTGATGTCTTTACTTACTTACTATGTTTTCTTTAATTGAAGTAATACTTTTTTGACTGTTGTTTATAATTATAAATATATAAATATAAAAGACTGTGATTTATAATAATCTAAAAACATTTTTTAAACCTTATTATTTTGTAGCATACATTACATTACATAGTATACATTTTTTAGTATACATTTTGTATACTTTGCTTCAATGTTTTTTATACAAAACAATTTTTATCTGTTTTAAATGATTTTTTTGTAAAAAAAAATTGTCTAAAAGTTCTAAATAAAAAAATAGGGAAATAAAGGAGACATCAGTTCTGAAAAAAAGCCCTGATTCAATACCTTCTGACCAATACCTTCTGACCAATAAGCATTACTCAATAAGTGAAATATCTAGAAAATGTGAGATGTCAAGACGTAATGTAAACAAAATCAAAGAGAAATTGAAAAATGGCTTTCCATTAGGTATTCAGAGGCATAGCAAATTTTGTCAAATAAAAAAAACAACACCAAGGAATGAGAGAAAGCCAGTGAAAATAGTAAAAGAAAATAGATTTGCTACATACTCAGTAGTTACTAGCAAGTTGAATGAGGTAGGACTAAATGTAGCAACAATCACTGTTTGACGAAGTTTGCATGGATTGGGCATCAGAAGTAGAAGACCAATTCTCAGTAAAAAAAGCGCCTGGATTGTCAAAGTAGTACATTTGTTTCAGTGTCGACGTGACTGGAAATCGGCAAGTCATTATAATACAAAAAGAAATTTTTATTTCCTAATATTCTTGTGTTTTTTAATATTCTTGTGTATTCCAGTGTTGGTATTTAGTGATTATTTACATTTTATTTTCTGGCGGTACGCTTCAGTGATGACTCACCATAGAAATTATGATTCAAAAAACTCAGTATGTAAAAAAGCTTCCAATGAAAAATTTCTTGAAAATTGTATAATCTAGACAATTGAAAATTGTATAATCTAGACAATTTAACATCCTCCAAAAGTCATGTTTTGGTTGGTGATAAGTGGAACAGGCCTTGGTCAACTGTACATTGTGGATGGAATATTGAAATGAGAGTAATACAAAAAAACATTAAAAACCTGTTATTAAAGAAAGAAATTTTGCTAAAAAAGCTTGCAAATAGGACCCAATTGATTTAAAAATTATTTGGCATTAAAACCATAATGCACGTTTGAAAGAAATGGCTTTATATTGCATTTATAGCATGTCGAATCATATTTATGCAGTTATAAAAAATAAGGGAGGATCAACAAAATATTTAAAGTTCATGTTAACTTATTGATATTTTTTGTATCGTATGTTAGAATATAAATATAATATATTTATGTATAAAAATTTTATCTGTATTTTTATCAAAACATAAGTTTTACCTCTCAGAAGATAAAAAATACAAAAAATATCAACATGGGGTAATAATTTGATTGGGAACTGTAATTGCTTTTTTAATTGTTTTTAAAATTCTATTCAAATTGAAGGCATGATATATACCTTTTTTTTATTGATAATAAAGCCAAAATTTGAAGATGTCAAGCAATTTTTCTTTTCTTTATATTATATATAAGTATTAGGCAGTAGTGGTGTGGTGGAAGAGCATATTCATTAATGGGTCGAGGGGGAATGATTATTATTGTAGAATACTCAATTATTTTAAATTTATTTTATATGCTGAAAAAATTTTTTTTTTTTTGTTATTTGTAATTAAAAAAAATTAAACAATTTTTAAAACATTTTACTTTGATTATTGATTTTTTTTTTAGAACGTAGCAAATTACTAAGTGACTCACTGCAAAAAATTTTAGTTAAAAGAGTGTCATCAGACTGGAAAAAGTTTGCTCGCCAGACTGGTTTGCCTGATGTTGATACTATTATTGAACATATTGATGATAACTTAAAGGATGACCAGTCTAAAATGGATGCATTTCTTGATAGATTGTATCAACTTAGACCTCTCAGTTATAAAGATTTTATTGAACACTCTCTGAACATGACTAATCGCTTTGATGTTCTTTTGGAAATAGAAATGGATAGTAAGATTTTTTTTTGTTAATATTTCATATTGATTTATTTTATATAAGTTTAATAGTTGTATACAAAAATGAATTTTGACTTGTTGGGTACAATGTCTAATTAAAAATGTGTTTAACTTTAAGGTTATCTTTACAAAAAATTATTACATCCATAAGGTTTAATTTATCTTTATACCTGATGATGTCAGTTGATATTTATAAAACATAATGTTTAAAAGCTTCAAAAAGATTGGTTTGATTTTTAAAAGTTATTTATTTGAAATTCAATGCAGTTATAACTTAATAATTTAGTTGATATTTATATAAATTCATATATATATCAGGCCTTTTTATGAGATTTTGTTGCGTAACGGAAAAGCGCAACGTGAATATATGTTAAAAGTTTAATTGCGCCAGTTACGTACTTTAATACCTCATTGTAATTAAATTCACATCAGACATCAGAAAAATTCACATCAGACATCATCAAACACATCAGAAATTATTGTAAGTCTTTTAAATGTTTAAAAAATTTAAAATTCTATAATTTTTTTTTCAACTTTTTTTTGTTGTAAATCGAGGTACAACCCTCTCTCAACTCTTTAACTCCGAAACCTTGACAAGCAAGGCCACTGCGCGGAGAAATTAAGTTAAGCGCGGTACTTCCAGGGACATGGTGGGAGTCCAACTCCGAACCTCTCGCTTACAAAGCGAGCGCTCTTACCACTACAATTAAACGAAGATTACCCGCTTTTCGGCTTTTTTCCATTAAAATATTTTATTTTTATGTGCAGTGAAACCTAATGTATATTTACTATTTCTTACTGAATCCAAAAAGAGAAATAGTTTTTCGGTTTTAAGATGTTATTACCAGAACTTGTTTTTAACAAATTTCAGTATAATTTTAAAATTTTATAAATCTTATATTTATAATTTTTTTTTTTTTTTAATAAAATAAATATAAATTAGGCTTTTAAAGAGTTTATTTATTGATCGCGTTATTTTTAATTGGTTCAAAGTTTGGTTTGTTTTATTAAAAAAGTCTTTTACACCAAATTTAACGACAAAGGGAAAACCCAAACATAACATTTAAACTCGAGTTTGAAAAAACTTTTTTTTATTTATAAAAAAGCATTATTCAGACCAGTATTTGGAACTGGAACTATTTGAAACTTAACTGAAATTAAAATTAAGTTATATGTAGTGCAAACATTTTAAAGTAACTTAAATTAAATTTATTAATTTTTTTTTTACTTTAACATAAATTTTGGAAATTTTATCAGTGAAAAAAACTGTAAAACGGAGCGTTTTTAAATTTTTAAAAGAATTTTAATTAAATTTAGTCAAATAAATTACTAAAACTATGAATAATAATAAAATTAATTTAATTTTAAAAAAATAAATTTAAAACATACTTTTTTTTAAAAAAGGAAAATAGAAAAAGGATATCTATCTGTTTTTTTATCTAATTAAAAAAAATATTCGACAAATGTTTTTTACAACAATTAATTACAGTTTAATGTTTTCCGCTTAATCTCTTTTAAAAGACTGTTTAAAATAGAATTATTGAAAAAAGTTTTTGCGTAACATAAATTGCAAAACGCATACGTAAAATTGTGAATACGTACGTAAAATTCAAATAGGGAAACGCTTCTTAACAAGGCCTAATATATATATGGATATATATATATATATATATATATATATATATATATATATATATATATATATGTATATATATATATATATATATATATATATATATATATATATATATATATATATATCAGGATGGCCAGCCAACTGGAAATCAGGGATTTTTTTTCTAGTCAGGGAAAAGTCAGGAATTTTTATTTTTTTTCTAAAATTCAGGGAAAATGTCTCTTTTTTAAAGTTTACTATTTTTTACAGTTTTTTTTACTTACTCCCAAATAACAAAACTTAAAAACTCACTCTTTGAAATATGAATGAGTCAGGGAAATGTCAGGGAATTTAATTTTTCAAAGTGGCTGGCCACCTTTTATATATATATATATATATATATATATATATATATATATATATATATATATATATATATATATATATATATATATATATATATATATATATATATATATATATGTATATATATGTATATATATATATATATATATATATATATATATATATATATATATATATATATATATATATATATATATATATATATATGTATGTATATATATACAAATATATACATATATCTATGTATATATATATATGTATATTTATATATATACATATATATATATATATATATATATATATATATATATATATATATATATATATATATATATATATATATACATATATATATGTATTTATATATATATATATATATATATATATATATATATATATATATATATATATATATATATATATATATATATATATATACACAAAAAAATACATATACATACATGTTTTTTTGGGTTAAACACTTTTTTTTTAAAACAGCCATGTTTAGTCAACTTTTTTAATAATAAAAAAAAGCATTAGTCATTTTACTCAATTAAATTTTCTTTTCTATTAACATACTACATTGTACATATATTTACTACATATACTTACTACATTATTATTTAATGTTCTGTATATAAAAACAAGCTTTGCTGCTTTTTCTACTCCTATCTTGTTTCTTATCTTAGAATGAACAAGCCCTAAAGTTGAGAAAATTCTTTCAATTCCAGCACTAGAAGCTGGTGCATTCAACAAACCTTCCTTATCCATACTAATGTTGTTAAAAAAAAATGCTGTCAAAATTGTGTAATTTAAAGATTTTAAAGGTTTGCACCATTCTGTGATCCATTTTTTAATACATTATACAAATACCTTTTATCGTATGTAGCAGATTTGGCTTTTAACTTGAATATTATTGGTATTAAGTTCTTAAATTCTTTATATGCAAAGGTCATTGCAGCTTCATTTTCTATTACAGAAAGATTAGATACAAAATATCTAGGATCTTGCGTTTTTGCAAAGAAATGAGCATCACTGACAGTCTGAATATATCTAGTTAACATTTTTTTTTTAGTTGATAAAATATGATAACATGTTTATCAGCTCATTAAAAATTTTAACAATGTCACTTAGTTTTGTTTGATCTCTTTGCTACTTATCTAGAGCAACTCCAATTGGTTTTAACTTTTTCAACAAAAAATTAGTTTGGTTTAAATTGGTATTTTTTTGATTGGTTTAAACCATTGTATATTAATTACAATGTTTACAATTTTATTTAAATTATCAAAGATTATTATATATAGTTACATTTATATAATGTTTTTATATATTTTTTTATATATGTTTTTTTTTTATAAATATTTACAAACTTTTTCTAGGAATAACTTTGTAGGCACTTTTAAAGGGATCCCAAAGTGCTGAGACAAGTTGTGTTTATTTTAAAGAGAATGATAAAAAAAAAATGTTTGGTCAGAATTTTTTTAAGTAAAACAAAATAATAAATGTATACCAACAAAAACAAACTTTGTTGTTTTACTCGAAGCTCGCTGTTTCCACAGTAGCTATTATCTGAAAGTCTTTAAAATATACGCCACAATCTACAGACTTTATAATTTATTCAAGCGCGTTTAATTCCAAAGAGTTTTAGTAAATGACGTCATTGTAGAATTTCGTTAAGAAATCTGAAACTTATTTATTTTTTAATCAAATTATAGAATTTTTTTAAATTATTATTATAGATGACTAAAGAATATTTTTAGTTACTTATATTATATAAAAGATTTTTTTATCATAAATTACTGTAGAATTTCTTTAGTTATTTTATTTTCTAACTTTTGCAAAGCTCGCATTAAAAATATAAAACATTTCAGATATTTTAAGCACATCTATTGCTATAAATTATTTTTTAATGATAAAAAGCAGCTTTTGATTTTTTCAAATTTAATTAAAATTTTTTTAAAAATTTAAAAACGCTCCGTTTTACAATTTTTTTCACTGATAAAATTTCCAAAATTTATGTTAAAGTAAAAAAAAAAATAAATAAATTTAATTTAAGTTACTTTAAAATGTTCGCACTACATATAACTTAATTTTAATTTCAGTTAAGTTTCAAAAAACTGGTAGAGTATGTTTCACAATTTATCTTGTTTTGTACATAAATTTTTACTCTAAACATATATAATTTGTTTCTTTTAAGGTTTAACTCTCTACATAATTAAGAACAATTAAACCATATTGTGTTATTATAAAAAGTTATCACTTGACAAAGTTAAAAATCTTCAGTAATCCTGACTTAAAAAACTTTTTTAAATTTAGTTGTAAAATAAAGCAGCCTTAACACTGTAAAATTTAACTCGTAGAAATGTATAGGTATTTAGCTAAGTAATTATAAGTTTTTTTTTTGTCTCGAAAAGCATTCTCTTCATACATTAAATGAGTTTTGTTTTGGAATTGTTTTAATTTAATTTTAATTAAATGTTTTAATTACTATTTATAAAACAATGGTTTTAAGCACTTTGCATATTTTATTGTTCAATGATGCGTGTTAAAAACTTATTTAATAAAAAGTTTATTTGTTTAGCTGTTTTAATGTTATATAGTTTGCTATGCTTTCAAAAAGATTTATAATTCGAATTTTAATTAGTTGTCAATGCCTTTCAAATTTTATTCAAAAAAATGTGTTGTTGTAGGGTAAATATTTTTGTTGAAACGGCTGGTAGCGAAAGAATGTTAACCTTATGAAAGTTTAATTAACAGCATTTTTTTGCTAAATTTTTCATCGTTTACAAGATGAATATATTTAATGAAATTTATTTTGTAAAACATGTAAAACATTGTAAATATGTAAAACATTGTAAAGCATTGCTTACTTATTTTTAAAATTGAACAATTATTGGTCAAGAATGCAAAAAAATTGTAGCATTATAGAGTAAATTTTAAAATTGAAATCATTTAATGAAAAAATTTTTATTGTCAATTTTAGTTTTTTTATTTGTAACTTTAAGAGACAGGTT